AAAAGAAACCTTTGTCATTTAATATGTTCTGAAAATTCATATAGCCTGCTTTGAGAAATCATTATTAGTGACTTCAGTAAGCTACTCAAACAGATAGAAATAATGAGTAAAGGATCCCAGAATACCTGAACTCATGATTTGAGACATTTTGATACAGACCCYGAGACAGTTGAAGAATTGCCATAGCTCTGGTGTGTAGCTAGGCTTCCTGGCAGTACCTGAGTCYGGGCCCTGCTGGGTTTGGAAGTGACCTCCCATGTCCAGGTGCTGGGGGCTGCTGCCTCCATCCGGTGGGACAGGCTCTCGGGAGCGGGGTGGCGCCRGCTCCTGAAGGAGCCCTTGGACCATCTCCGCTTCCACATGTGCAAGTCCTTCTGTTTGAGGTGTCTGATGGTACAAGTACCTCTCGCGATGCCACCATTGTCCCCCTGTTCCTCGTTGTGCTGAACTTGCCACATGGCTGTGTGTGTCCGACTGCCATCCCACTTGGTGACATTCGGGATTGCCTCTTACCTCGGGAAGAGGTGGAGTGAACCATATAAGGGAATATAGGGCAGACTCCTTTCTGCACAATAAATCAGATATTGGACATCAGAAATCTGGATTGCATCTCACAAGGCTAAATAAACAAATTTTAAATATATATATACACACACTACCTTCAACCATCATTCCAAGTGCAAAACGATTTCCATTTTTAATGATAAGTCTCTTGGCTCAGTGCCAACATGTTCACCATGAAGAGAGTGTATCGGATGGGAGTTCCCAGGAATTCTGATTAATTCTTCAGAAAGTTTTGGCCAGATCATTTGTCTAATAAAACTGAAAAAAACTTTCAGTTTTGTATATAATAAAACTGAAGGCTTTCGGAAGAACCTCCCGTGTGTTTGCCCAGCATTAGCTCTTGTGGGTAGCTCAGCCCTTCTGTGCTGTGGTGCTGGCGGCGTGGGGGGCTCCACTGCTGTTCCTGGGGTGCACGTGGAGGCGGCAGCCGCCCTCAGTCTTGCTCCTGCTTTATAGACTGCTGTGAACAGCAGCTGCTTAAAACGGAAGTTAAACAAGGCTTGAAGTTAAACAAGGCACAGCCAAGTGTGCCTGTCTTCTGGTCAGTGAGTACTGTTAAATATCTCTACAACAGGGATGCAAGGGCAGTATAAGAGCTTGGTCTTACAGGTTCAATTTTCAGCATTTATTCTCATCTCAGATTAATAAATGAGGATACAGTGTGCCCARGAGATTCAGCACTTTACAGCTCTTCCGTCTGTCTCTTCATCTAATTGGGAATGCTTTCTTTGTTGTCCGCACAAGGATGCACTAGAAAGGTGAGGGAATTAYGTAATAATAGAGGTGTTTATTAAGATTCTTTGCCTTAATGCACAGCACAGTGCGAACTGCTTATGCCTCTCTCCTACCCCTAGGACTCGAACACAATCTGCATTTTCAGGAGAACCAAAGGCTTGATCTGAAAGTGCAAATTTCAAGCGCGAGGGGTGCGATTTGAGGAAGGATGYGGTGCCCAGGGTGCAGCTCTCCTGCCTGGCTGTGCTCTCTTTAGGGTCTGGCCCCAGTTGTAGATTTTGTGCAATTCCAAGCACGCCAGCTTGGGATTTGATCCTGAAGCTCAGTAGAACATCTGGTCTTGCCCTTTTTTCTCGCAGTAGCTGATGTCCCCATTCATCTGCTCAGTTCTTTGTTCTGTGCCACTGCAGTCACTGTGGAGCTAAGTACCCTACCTTGCTGAGCCTTCTTCCTGCAGCCTAAATTGGCATCATTTGGTAAGTTCCCAAGTGGGCTGGTTGATAGAAGACTTAAAATTTATTTGAAGTGAATCATTTAAATGAGATGCAGAGAAGGACATATTTGTGCTTGGAATATCAATTTTTTATTAATAGTCTTTGTAATTCATACTTATCAAAACAGTCTTCTACAAAGTGGAGTGAGAGACTAAGCTGAAAAGAAAAAGGATGCAAGGATATAAAGGGCATACAGATGCCCTGTCTGGGTACATCATTCTTTTCTTTCAAGTACTCCCCAACGATTTGATGCTGGTTCTTTTGCAGGTAAAGAGGACCTGGCTGATTTTGTAAGCAGCGAGAGAGGTGCTCTCGACAAATCCATCAGGCAACATCTGAGAGATGTGCTCTGACACCTCAATCATGTTCTTCCAGCAGTACAGATGGCAAACCAGAAGGACTGCTGTTTTTTCTTTGTTTCCTTCTCCAAATTCAAATCTCACTGAAGCATCACAAATCTGATAAGAAAATCTGTACCTTGGTGAGGCCGTGATCACACGGAGTACAGGGGTGCACAGAGCACTGTGGCCTGAGTAGTGTTGTTAGCAGAGAAGCCATCCTGGTGAGCTGAATACAATGTCTTTTTTTTCCCCCCAACCTGAGGCAGGGGATAATGAAATTGCTAATTGACAATAGAATATGACTTTGCTGAAAAGCTGAATGATAACTTTATGGGGAAGCGGTGAAGTGTCTGTCTTTGCCAGCTCGTGTTGGGGAGATGAAAGCTGAATGGTTGAGACACAATTCAGAGACTCTTCAGAGCAGTGGTTGCCTCCCTGCCTAGTTTGTGTGGACAGCAACAGTGGCTGGAGGTGTTTTGACCATGGCTCAGTACTAACAAGTCCGGTGCTTAGCGAAGACATGGTCCTTGTCCTCCAGAGCTTACACCCGAACRCTGAGCGGGCCCAGGTTTGTGTAGAGCTTAACCTGCTCCCTTCTGGCGCTGGGGCCAAATCCCAGGCCTCCTGCAGGGTTATCTCTACCCCATCCTCCTGAGCCCCACAACAGTGGTTGGGATCGCAGGGGTGCAGTGATAGGTACGTGCGAGGCCCCTCCCTGGACTTTGTTTATGATCCAGGATATATTTTACACTCTGACAATGTGCTGCAAGTGTGGAAGAGAAGGGGCCCCTGTCCTTTACATGCAGTACGTACACACTTTTGAAGAAATGCAGGCAGGGATGTGAACAGAAGATCACAAAACTCTACTTTGATTCCCCAAATTTGCCCACTGTAAATATTTTCAGCAGGCAGACTTAAATCACTTCTCTCACACCAAAGATAGTTGGGCAGGATTTTAGAGTTTTGCTTAAATCTTGCATAGCATCCCAGCAAGACAACAGGAGTTCATTAACCACGTATCCTCTTTTAACCATATGTAAAGGTGATCTTAGTCTCCTGTAAAATACAACAGTAGTGAATTTATAGCTGTTAAAGACAGTGACTCAGGGAAGTATTCTCATACTGTCTCCTTTGGTAGAAGGCATTTGACTTGATCTCTGCAGTTAGAAGAAATGATGGCAATTCAGCCRCCCTCTGTTTTGACAGAGGCAGGTGATGAGTCTGCAGAACACAACGTGCCAAACCTGTGATGGCTTTGGTAAGTCCAGTGCTGTCAAGATGGGTGAATTCAGTGCATTAAGAGAAAGTGCTTGAACCCAGGGAGAAGCAATGACTGCTAGCATTTCATCAGGGAAAATAAGGCTGAACTAATGCAAGAGATTCAAAAAGAGAAATTTGCTTCAGTAAATCCATTTTGTATTGATAACATGTTTGTGGTTGGCCAGCCGGGTGAATAAGCAGAAATGATCTGAGTGAATAAGCAGAAATAAAGAAGTTCATTCACTGCTTTTACTTCCTTTCCAGTTTGCAGGCAGCAGTTGTGCACACTGTAACAGTGACTGCAGAAAGCATTCCTACCTCACCTGAGGATCTTCGTCAAGTTTGGATTTCTTGTGCTGCCCKCTTTTGCTTGCTATTAAGCAAAGATTTTGTTCCGCTGAGGAGCAAATAGGGATAAATGTTTAACACATGAGATTACCAAAAGACAAGCAGGTAGAAAGCCAGTATTGAGCACACTCACCAGCACTGCTTTTTAACAACAGTTGATTCTTACTGGCACTTTTTCTAAGGCAATGTCTATGTTATAGGTAGTTACTAATGCTGAATTACAAACATTAGTAAATACACATTGACAACCTGTAATTGAGTGAGAACTTTCATTCTCTTACAATTCTCTGTGTTTCCTTCTGCATCTTTTTCTCTGGTCCTGCTCTTTCTTTTCTGGAGTTATATCCAGACTGCAAATCTCCGATTCCTATACACTAGTCATTCTCTTATGTGTATGGCAGAGTAACGCCTGGTTAAGAGTCCTCTGTACCAAGGGTGTGTGGTGTGAACTTCTGTGCAGTAAACAACATAGAAATGCTGTCAACCAGAAACCCCAAGTTTCAATTTCCTACTGCAGCCTTTCCAATTTATGCAACAATCTCCTTTCACCTGCAAAAAAAGGGGCAACCAAATGATATTTAAGGTATTTTTCAAAGTTACCATTCTTGGGTTCTTCTGCCGTGTTAGTAATTCTGTGTCCTTTCACAAACTGAAGTTTTGTTATACCAAATATGGTACAGAAATGTAATACAAGGTTCTGTCTGAAAGAAGTYTTACTTTTCCAGCCTGCAACAATCAGCTATTTCTGTTAGTTATCAAAAGTCAGTGGCATGAGTCTTAATAAGCAGAAAAGGATTTTGATACTTGAACACTGAACCCATCACTGAAAGGAAGTCATGAATGGGATATATACAGTATATAAAATGGTCTTTCCCCATCTCATCTTCAAGCCACTTCAAGGTATAAAACAAGTTGTGGTCTGAGCTGAGGAAAGTCTCTCAGCAGCACTGAAATGAAATGCAAGAAAGAAAGAAATGAGTCTGGATGGGAATTCTCCTTCAGAATGGCTTTCATCAAAAACAAAGCATTTCATTGTATGTCCTCTCAGTATTCAATTAATTAGAGCATAAAAGACCAATATATAAAGTAGACTAAGAGGTCAAATACTTATTGCTTGAAAATATCAGTAGATACTTTAAAGTATTAAATATGGTAGGCTTTTTTTCTTAAGGGAAAAAAAAAAAAAAAGAAAAAAGTTATCTTCTTGTCCCCCTGTCCAAAATTTGGGAACCAGCAAAGTGGTGACCATGGTCTTGCTCTTAAGGCTGAGAGCACTGGGCCTCATCCTGAAGAAGAGAAGGCTGAGGAGGGACCTATCACTGTATAGAAATACCTGGAGGGAGGGAAGGGGGAGGATGGGGCGGCCTCTTCTCAGTGGTGGCCCCTGATAGGACTGAAGGAAATGGCCATAAACTGAAGCACCAAAAGTTTGGTCCATGATAACTTAAGGAAAACTTGAAGAGAAATTTCTTGATAATGAGGGTGACAGAGCCCTGGAACAGGCTGCCGAGAGAGGTTGTGGAGTCTCCTTCTCTGGAGACCTTCCAAACTCGCTTGGACACAGCCTGTGCCACGTGCCCTAGGTGCCCCTGCGTGTGTAAGGGGTTGGACTAGAAGATCTCTAGAGGTCCCTTCTAACCTTAAGGATTCTGTGCTTCTGTGGTTTTATGATGTTGTAGGTCTTTTCCAGACATAATGATTCTATGATTAAGTACCACTTGAAGATATATTGGTAAATAGCATATAGGTGAWCTACTGCCCATCAGTTCTCTCTGAAAATATTCTTGTAGAAAATATTTTYGCAGAATTTATTATGTTTCTGATTCAAAGCTATTTCTAGTATGAAGTTAAAGCAAATTCAGTTACTCATTAACCTCTCTGTTTCAGGACATGTGCATATCACTGATTTCAACATCGCCACAATGCTGACAAAAGAAATACAAGTCACCACAATTGCTGGCACTAAACCATATATGGGTAAGGATGGTGAAGATCCCAGATGCTTGAATTGCTGTTTGATGGGCTTGATCTGAGGGCAGTGCAGGTACAGAGATAGAGATTTGATGAATGTTAGAGCTCTCTTGTTCCTGCATGTAACAGAATACACACATTTGTTTGAAATAAGAAAGGATAAGGAAGGTTATAGAGGAAGCCCTCTCTAAAAATTATACTCCAAAACCATTGAAAAATGTGTGTCCATATATTGATTTCATACAGCAGAACAAGGGAAGCCTACTTCAAACACTTCTTGTCTAAACTGGCATTTTAAAAACTCATATTACTCTGTCTAGGTCAAGGGTATTAGGCCAAGAATGGACTTAAAGTCTAAGGCCTCTCTTGCTTGTGCTTTATCTCTTGCACCAAGTAAAACTTTCTTCTTTTCCTRTAGCAGGAAAGATGGGAAAGGGTAGCCATGGGACTGCAGCACACAAAGATATTGAATACCCATTGATACCCCAGGGGGCACAAGGGTGTAGAAGTTATCATCACAATTGGAAGATAAATTCTGAGCCTTTTTTTTGGTCTTTGAAAATTACTCTATTGTATCTAGGTTGCTGATGTTAATGGATTTGGCTGTTTCACCAATAAGTGAAAACAAGCTATATGTACCCCTAGAAACTCAGATGCACAGAAGAGAAAAGCACATACAGGCTCTGGAGGGCAGGACACAATCAGTTACCAAGTACTCCCCACATCTGCAGAGTGACCTTCCTGCACTGCCTGGCTTGGAGCACGGGGTTCTTTCTGTGAGAAACGGYGCAAAACTCCAGCTTTCTGCTGTGCTCAGCGGCAGAGCTAGTTGCTATGGTTACATGCTGTCCCCTTCCCCTTCTTTGATTCACATGAAAGGCAATTTTTAGGGATTTTTTTCCCTTCCAGGCAATGTCATGGGACACATTCCATGCAGCAAAATGTGCCAGGCAGCTGTAGGACTGCACACAGTTGTGCCGTCCGAGGGCTAAGGGACTCGGGAGCAGGTGGACCAGCCCTACAGGAGCTGTGAATCAGGCAGAAGTGGAGAGTTCACAGGTGTGATGGATCAGGTTTGCTGCCCTGATCCCCTAGGGCTCTGTATTTGGAATTTGTAATGATTCTGCCTGGGTTATTATAAGGGAGCTGAAATCTGTTCATCCAATTGAGTGTGATTGACTTTTTCAAGCCCTTAGAGGTTAGGATAAATTTTCTATCCTGCTGTTATTAAGCTGTCTCTCTACCTTGGTAGAGTTTCTTGCTTGTTCTTATGGCACCTTTTTAGAGTGAGATTTTGTTGCAATACTTCATGTCATTAGCAGCCAAACACAGAAGTCATCTTGGCCCTCTCTGCAGAAAGCATATTCCCAATTTTTATTAGTGAGACTGCTTTTGTTATTCCCAAGTGTATCCTGCACACATGAGCATATGCACGCGGAAGGCCGGCACACAGTGCGTCTCCCCATGAAGACCTCGTTTCTCTCCTACTCGGCAAGTTTAGCTTTTTATGCCACCCTTCTCCCTCTCTTTAGAAAAACTGCAGAAAAGGTACTTATGCCCGTTTACTGGCTTCGTCAGTGAAGCAGTCAAGCAGGTAGAGACCTGTCTGATACTTGTCTTTCAAGTACAGTTAATACATATATAGTAGAAAAGCATTAACATGCCTGGAAGCATTAACATGCAGGAAATGGATCAGAAGGAAACATTTTGAGCTAATATTGTAAGGCCATTATGCAAACACCACACAGAAAAGGCTTGATATTAGATAAGACAAAATTTGACTTTCTTAAATGAAGCAAGAGCACTAAATAGCATTTCTGTACAGCTAACACAACCCACCCTACTTCCACAAGACACTGAAAACAGAAAAACCTCCTCACAGCTGTGGCTTATCCAGACCCCTCACAAAGAGCTCCCCTGCTCTTAGGAGTCTCCTTTAGAGCTGAATAACAAGATGCATCTTTCACCTGACATGGGCCTTTTAAAAGGAAAAATACAAAACAGAAATACTGCTTATTTTGTGGGTTTTTTAGAACAATTCTTACTTTCCATTTCCAATGGAAACATGTCCAATGGGACATTTCCAGTGTCCCACAAAAAAAATCCTACAGTAGTTCTCTTCTTCAATCTCAAATTTATTGATGAGAGAGAAAGCATTTCAATCCCTATACCCATTTCCTGTTAGTCTAGTAACTTCCTCCTTAAAAACCTTTCTTTCAGGCTTAGTTCAGTTCAAACTTGCTTTTTTCTGCCAAGGGCGTAGTTGGCACCGTGTCTATGTTTACGCTGCATATTAATGTTCCTAAAGAGCTGCTTTCATTCATTCTGCGAGGCTGTATTTAGTTTCTGCCAGATTGAAAGACTTTAAATATAAGCGAAGAGAAATGAGTGGGAACAGCTTTGAAAGAAGAAATATTCCTTGAGCTCTAGCTGAAGTGCAGAGAGGCTTTCTAAGGGAAGTGAGAAGATTTTCAGGTCAATTTTAGGTCAAGATTTAGTGAATTAGGATGTTATTCTGAGGCATATTTACTATGAGATAACAGGCAAGTCTTGTGTCAKCAAAAGGCAGAATTGCTTTCTTGGTTGAGGGGAGAGAAATTTGAGAAGAAATACATATTGGGAATTGGGAGTCTCTTGGATAGCCCAGGAATGGGAGTAGAGCAATGTAGAAGTGATTCTGCACCAGAGCAGGTGTTGGAGTTCTTAGTTCTTTATGCAGCACAAAAGCAAGGAGGGACCAATGAATTTCTTATCGCTGTACAGTAGGTATATAGTGTATGTACATACACTCAATGCCATTCCATCATTTATACACATCAGGTCTTGCAGCAGTCCATTAGGGTTAGCAGTCATTGTCACTCCCATTTCAGAGGTGTGAAAAAGTGCGGAGGAGCTGAAAGCTTATCTGGATTTTAATGTGGTGGGAGGTGCTTCATACCATGCTAGTGGTCAGCAGGACCCAAATGCTGGAGTGTGGGCGAGTGCCTGGGTTGAGCTGCCAGCTGAGACCTGTGCCAGKGCTGGCTGTGCACCCCAATGCACCACCTACCAGGGAGCAGCACGTGGCATCAGCGGGTGCTCCCGCTCAGGTGCTGGGAGCAGCAGTAACTCATTGCCCAGCATTCTTCTGTGGTGACATCAGCGTGTGCTCTGTGCGTTAATATTGAGCTTTCCACTACCRTTCTGGATTATTCTGCATGGCAAGGTATTGTTCCAAGGGAGAAAAAAAAACAWGCGATTTGTGTCTATGACAGCGTGATTAGGGGAGCTCTCTGCATCGCTAAAGCAAACATTCTGTGTTGCTGACTTCTTGAGAACGCAGTAAGGCAAATGACCTTTCTTGACTTCTTTTTTTTTCCTTCTATATTTCACAGCACCTGAAATGTTTAACTCCACAAAACCTATTGGCTATTCCTTCGCTGTGGACTGGTGGTCCTTAGGAATCACTGCCTACGAGCTGCTAAGAACCCGGGTAGGTAACGTGCAGCAGTTGCCACTGTCTGTCTCTCTTAAACACCCCATAGAAAGATAAACACCTGACAGCAGGAATGAAAGGCCTGAGACAAATTCAAGGCTTCAAGGTTAATTACAACATATGCAGTAGAAACCAAATCTTCATCAGAATCCTTCCAATCACATCTAAGAGCTCCTAAAGAAAAAAATAAAACTTGTAAAATATTGTATTACCATTGCAATAAGGTTGAACGGGTTGGGCAGTAGTAACTCACACCACAAGTGTGAGTTGACAGTACAGCACAATTCATGTGTCATCATATCAGTGTTTTGCTTCTGACTCAGTTCAAGTTGTGGGCCTTGTGGAGCAGTAATTAGATGTTTTGGAGGCATTTTGTAAAAGATGCAAATAAAATTATTTGCTTTATGTTCTTCTAAGCAGAAGTGTTAAACACTTTGTGAGCATAGAAAAACCTTGTCTTTCTATGATATGCAAAACATATAGGTAAGAAATCAGTATAAAATCAGTCCTCACATTTTGATAAAAGTTAGGGCGTGTTAAAAGAACATGGCTCTCTTAAGTGTTGGATGATTGAAGCTCTGTGTCCATCATATAAATATKAATGTAATACTTGAATTTTYTATATTGAAATTTCACTGAATTGCAAGACTGTTCATCACATTGACTCTTGACTTGATGGTGTTGCTTTCAAACCTGAGAGCAGAATGCTAGTACTCGAGCATTGCAGCACTGTGATGATGAGATGGCAGCCTTATTGGTGGTCACCTCAGGGGAGAAATGAAGAGAAAGCTTGAGTACCATCCAGCATCCGTACCTTTTAAACAGTGCATCTCATGGCATATCACAGATTGTAATTATTATTTTGTAAATATGTAAAACCCTGGAAATTCTGTAAATAAAAATCTGGGAGTCAAAAGTCTTTCAAAATGTAAAGACTCTAGCTGTTGCAAATTCTCTTCTTAAGTAAAGCTGTGATATTGCTCTGTGTAGAAGTTAAAAGCAGAGGTGAGTATTTAACTGTGTGGTAACAAATTGGCATGCTTCCCTTGTCTAGGCACATAATTTTAGATTAATTATCCTAAATGAACATATGTCAGGAGTAGTCCAACTACATTTCACTTGGAATATGCAGTCATGCAGTCCTCAGACCCAGTTCAGGTTTCTTCTTGCCATGGAACTGGASTGCAGGACAGAAATAAAGGGCCACTCTGCAGCCTGATGTTATGCCTAGGGTTTCTGTTCAGTCACCTTCCTTGGGGCAGTATTTTTCATACGATGTTTTTTCTATAGTGGTGAACTTTCCAAAGGAAAGAAGGGAGAAATCCTAATCCTTTTACTTGTGACATCTCCAACAGGAGTAAAGAATTGAAAACATCCATGCTTTTTACAGGAAGCATTGGGAATGTTCCTACGACAGCACTGTATAAAATCCTTTTTGATATCTCTTTAAGATACAAATATTGGCTAGACCAAGAAAACACAGGCTGCTTAATAACTCTAATCTTTGTTTTTGCCTCTTATATATCATGCTGTTTAAATGTCTGGTTAGTACTGTTGTTCTTGCTGACGTTGTTATTATTTTGTTTTGTAGTGTTCTGTTTACTTCAACTGATTTAAGATTCCACAGTGACAGACTTTCAATGGTTCAATCTAGAGCAGCAGTGGGAGGTTTGAGGAATGTGTAAAGAGACTTTGTTTGGAGCTGTCTTGCCCTAAAAAGATTTCCCAAGGTGTTTTGGGTTTTTTTTTAAGCTGCATTAAAATGCTTTCCATGTTGTATTTTTCACAGAGGCCCTACCACATTCGCTCCAACACCTCGACAAATGAAATTGCTCATGTATTCAGGACAGCTACAGTAATGTACCCAGCTGCTTGGTCCAACGAAATGGTGTCACTGATCAAAAAGGTGAGGGCAGCTGTGGGGCTGGATAGTGCAGGAACATGGATATGTTATATCTGTGAGCCTGCTGAAACCAGCAGCTGTCCTTGCATTGTGCTTCACGGCCCTTGTAGTAAGTTGTGGGGATTCATTGCAAACTGTGTCCAGACCCCGTGTTAGAAGCCTTCAGCTGGTTCTACACAATAAATATCTAGCTTTGCATGTTCTAGCTGAACTAATATAATCAGCTAATGGTACTTATTGTTGGACTAACAGTGGTGAAGTTTGCACTGCCAAACAAGACTGCTACTGATGTCTCTCTCATATGGAAGTATTCAGTATTCATTTCCAATTCTTCTATAACTTTGTCTCTCCAAAATGGCACCACTTGGAACTGAATATTGATATCAATACTTTGCTGATACAGTAAAATGAYATATTTTCCGAGAAGATTGAAGATTATACCTATTTACTTAAAATTAAATGGAGATAGAATTTCAGTAACAGTAAGAGAAGAATTTTTACCACAGATGCCCTCTGTGTTGTTACTTACTTTTGTTTGTTTGTTGAAAGCTTTTTCTGAACCACAACATGCTGCAAGCCATACCGCCTGCCTTGTGAATTAATAATGCAGTGTCACAACTATTTAGATTTCCAAGCGTTCCTCTGCATCTGGTTTAGCAGCCCTTTGTATTATATATGAGGCAAACTGGAGTTTTGTCTTGGCTCAGATATCTCCTGTGAATTCTCCTGTTTGTTGAGGGTCGAAGGAAACGATCATTCATAGCAGACCCACATCACTCACATTAGGACTTAAAACACAGAGTTCAGACAGGAGAGATGAGCAGCCCCTGCGGCTCGGGCACCCTGGTGGGGCAGGTTTTGCTTCTTAGTGTGTCCTGCTGCTACTCACATCCTAGGTACATCCTACATCCCAGCCTGTCTGTTTCTTCTGCTAGGGTTTTGGAGAGTATATTAGTAAGAGCTTATGCAGTGCTCAATCCTAGAACATCCTAGAACTCTTCAAAACAGAAAAGTGCATATACGTCCCTTGGTAATGCAAACGTATGGAGGGTAAAGCGCTGCTGATATTGAAGTCAATAAAACTATTCCTGCTAGGATGTTAATTAACTGGATAACTGAGCAAGTACACAGGAAAAATTAAACAGAATCTGCAAAGTCCCCTTGGAAAAAGGAAAGGACTTGTTAGAGCACTTGGATGATTGCTCACATTGGGCTGCCTGATGCAATCCCTCTTACCACTGTTCTAACGTACTAATTTACCCCTGTGCTTAACTTACTAGTAGGAACTGACTGTGTTGCTGCTGAGGGCAGAGGCCTCTGTGTCCAGGTGAGCATCGCAGTGCGAGAAGGYGTTGGTCGTGCAAGCCCCTTGGCTGGAGCAGGGGGGCCTYGGCCCATCTCCATCCTCCCTGTGCYCTGCTCACCTGCTGGTGCACGGCCAGACTTAGAGTCTAGCCCAGTTCTAGAAACTGAAAACCTGCACAGGCCTCGGAGCTGTCCCCAATAACAAGTGATACACCAAGGTGTCCTTGAGAACTTTCTCCCTTGCCTTTATAACTACATAATATTACCACAGTATTTAAAGCATTCCCTGGGTACCCGCTGAAAAGCACAGTAGGGAACAGCTTCTAGCTATCAAAGGCAAAATTGGTACATTTTACAAAGTGGCTGCTGACAGATACGTATTCAAAAATCTGATTGTTATTTCTGTGTCCTAGCTTTTATGTGGGGGAACTTAGCAGCAAACATGTTTGTATCCACCTAATCTCGTTTGGGATCTCTTCTCCCAACCACTTTTATTTAACTCTCATTGCAGTTGCTTGAGCCAAATCCTGAGAAGCGTTTTTCTCAGCTGAAAGATATTCAGGACTTTCCATACCTGTCAGATGTGAACTGGGATGCTGTTCTTCAAAAAAGGATAATGCCGGAATTCATTCCCACAGTAAGGCAATTTTAGTTAAAGCACAGTAAATCCATGTATCTGATCCTTTTTTAATGGGAGTAAACTAGCATGAAAGTATTGGTATATAAAGAGGTATTAGTATAAACTAGCACTGGAGTATTGGGGGCAGTTCTGGCCTCCCCAGGACAAGAGAGACATGGAGCTTCTAGAGAGRGTGTGAGGAGAGACTAAGTGAGCTGGRACTGTTTAACCTGGAGAAGAGAAGGTTGAGAGGGGATTTGATCAGTATGTGTGAGTACCTGTACTTATACATATGTATTTGTATATAACCCTTGGGGAAAAAAGCCCAGAGACCATCCTGTGCCACCCTACTCCAATTGCTTTTCACTTATAGCCAACCCAATGGTGGGCTAAGCTCTGGACACTGGCTGGTTGCATGTGTTGTCCTCTCTGTTGGTTTCCCYTTGGTCGGGGTACGTGTGTGTTGCTTTACAGCAGCTTTGCAGGCTACAGGGCCACCCCCTAACGCTTTGCAAGCCCCCAGAGGCAGCAGCCCACCCGGCAAGCAGCATTCTGGCCGTGACTGCAAAGCAGCCCGTGTGTTGAGTGCAGGCACTAACCCCCAAGTGATACAGACCCTGACAGCGGCCCCCTTGCTGAGGGAACTGGGAAAGCTAAAAAAATGGGGAAGCAACAGGTACCTCAGCTGTGTATAGTTGTAATTAGCTTACATATTTACAAAATTCAGTTCTCACTGTCCAGTTTGGAAGAGCCTCGTTAAGCCAGGGATTGATCACTTAAGACAACCTTTCTCTTTTCCTCCAGAAGGGCAGACTGAACTGTGACCCAACCTTTGAACTTGAAGAAATGATCCTAGAATCCAAACCTCTTCATAAGAAAAAAAAGCGCCTGGCTAAAAAGGAGAAAGATACCAGCAAAAGCAGTTCCTCACAGGTGAGAGAATTTCTTTAGCAAAGTTATTTAAAGGTCAGCTGCGGTTCTGAATACTTTAAATATTTTATCACAATCTCAGAACAGTGCTTTGAAATACAAAATGGAATCTTTTTTTATTTATTACCAGTGGACACAAAACAGCATGTCCTTCACTGCTGCAGATGACAAGATTGTTGTGAGAGGCCAGAGTTCCTGTTCTGTGCAGTGGACAGTGGGTTTGGTTTAGGAAGCCAGTATGCTTCCTAAATGCTATAATTACAATCAATTATAATTATTCCTAAATTCCATAATTAGAATSCTATAATTATTCAAAAAGGAAAAGAAGATGATGGGTCGGAAATGTTTTATTTCCAAAGGAGGCTTGTGGGACAATCCCCCCATGTCAGAGACTGAAGGGCCTCTCAGGTTGTGATCTGGGAGGATTGTAGTCATCGGCTCCATAAACCAGCATCTCCTCTGGGTACCAGAGCCCTCCCGGCCTGTCCCATGTCTTTTGCCTTTCCTCACACAATGGAAAACCTCTTTCTTTGCTCCAGCCCTGCTCCCTTTCACCTCCCTTCTCTGCAGTCCATAGTCCCAAATGTAACTCTAGGCACTAAAAGGCCGGTTTTGTAGTCTGGTCAGATGGGAAGATTCCCTGAGGGTGGTAAAACAGCCTTGTCTGCTGGTTCCCTCCAGCTCAAAAGCAGCCTTGAATCACAGAGACAACCTTGCCTCTGTCCCTGCTCTGCTTTTACATGCGGGACAGACAGATTTTTTCAACATTGTTTCTAAGCAGGAGCAGAGCACAGCAAGGRGCAGCACCTCAAGGTGCTGTTGGTGCCACAGGTGTTTACAACAGGAGTGGCTCGGAGGAGAGGAGCTCGTAGGAAGGCATTGAAGGTGTTGGGGCCTGTGCCCCGTTGGCAGCAGTGGCGAGGCTGGTGCTCACGGTGGAGGGGCCGGGCTCCRTGCGGGGCTCTGCATGCGCCACACAGAGACACCTTGGCCTTCCCCAGGGACCAGGGAGCCCGCCTGGGGCCAGGATGCAGCACATCCGCACGGACAGCGTGGAGAAACTTCACACGTCTCCGCAGCACTCCCAGCCCCGCACCCACCGCCTGCCGCTGTCAGTTCCTGGATCTGTGTGGTGTCGGTTCTGGCCCGCGAGCGCCGCGGGGATGTGCGTGTCGGCTGGCACGTCCTGCAGGGCACAAAGCTCCAGCCCTGCTTCCAGATCCTGCTTCCAGRGCCTCATTACGCAGACTTCTGTGTAGGAGTGGATTAGAGCGGAGCAGCCGGGGCTCCCCCTGCGGAGCAGCCCAGGCTCCAGTGTCCCTCCTTGCTGTTCCCTGCATGTGGGAGCGGGAAGCAGCTGCTGCCTCCCTCTCTTTGCACTGTACTGACCTGTGCGTGTGCAGAGATATTTGGGGCCGCAGCGTGAGGCCCAGAGCTGTCACTGCTGACCCATTCTATGCATTTGCAGAGGTCTTCGGTTTTCTGCAACAGCAAAATCCCTGTGGAAACAAGATGTGTAATTTGAAGAGCATACACACCGCACATGCTGGTTTTAAACATGAGGAGCGCGAGTGCTAATGCCCTTCTGCAGTGCTAGAGATACTCTATATCTAACCGTATCTACCGCCTTGTTGTCCTTGCAATACCAGTTTTAACTGTGGATTGCTTCCTTTTCCCATCTTTCATGCCAATGTGGAAGGCCTGCCATCTTCAAAAGCACCTGGAGATACTGCAGAGAGACTTCATCATCTTCAACAGAGAGAAGTAAGTCCTGATGTGACTGGGTGGGCACAGAGGAGGCGGTGCCGGTGCCGAGAGCCTCCTTGYGGGCACCAGGAGGAGACTGGAGCCACAGTGGCCCTGTGAGCCCTGCCCATGCAAATAGTTCCTGTGTTTCCCGTGGCCCATGGGGGCTGGGGCGGGGGGAGGGGGGGTGGCAGCCCGAGCACAAGCTGGTGCCACTCGCTCTGCCACAAGGCACCTTCTTGCCAGTTCAGCGGTGCTGCTCTGTGCTGGTGCGTGGCGCCTGCAGGCTGGGCCCCGCGGGTGCCGTGACCCTGCTGGGCCAGGGCTGCTCCCGAGAGCCTCTGCCACGGCCGGAGCAGCCCGCAGGCTCCCTGCGGAACGAGCCCTGGGAGGGGCAGCTCCAAAGCTACTGGGAGACAGAGGTGATGATGAGGGGGCTGGGAGCAGGGCCCATGCTCCCGCATGAAGAGCTGTGCTGGATCTGCCACCCAAGGACAGCATTTGCGTGCCAGGGTGCAGCACCCCTTTCTTCCCTTCAGGGTGAGACACGACGACATCCAGGAGAGCGCGACGACRGTGACGGGCAGCGCCGCGCACAACGAGGACACCCAGAACAACAACGCCTGAGCTGGACACGGGCCGCACTGCACGAGCTGCTGCCCGCCCAGCGCGTGGCCCCGCAGCACCCGCACCCCTTCCCAACASTTGGCACAGTTAGAATCGCATCCTTTTGTGTTTGGCCTTTCTTGGTGCCATGAATGTGACCGTGTGGGAACACATGTGATGGAGAAGCAGGTTCAGCCGCACGGGCAGCAGGGTCGGTGTCCACAGGGTGGCAGTGGGACAGTGTGGGTGGCAGGGAGGGCTGTCCCCTCGGGCTGGGTTCCGGGTGCGGGACCAGGCTCCTTCCCCGGGAGGCGGCTGCCCTGAGGCGGGGGCAGCAGCCGCAGAGGTGCCTCTGTCCTGCGCTCCCGGTGCCCGCACTGCCCCCGTCCTGTGCTCCCAGTGCCCGCACTGCCCTTGTTGCACCGGGCGCCCCCCTGCCCTACAGCCGTGTTCCCTCCCTCCTCCGGGGCGTTCCTCGCAGCCCGGGCTGCAGGGGCAGCGGCCGAGGTCACTCCGGGCACGGCTCCGCGCGGGGTCTCTGCCCCGCTGAGGGCCGTGCGGAGCATGGCCTCCCGCCTCCGCCGGCCCCGGCTTCGCTGAGGCCGCAGCGCCCCCGGCGCCCCCGCCCTCCTTCCTGCCGACCTCGGACCCCCCCCCGGCCCGGGCAGCCTCGGGGGCCGTCACCGCTGGGGGCGGGGCTTCCGGGAGCAGCACTCGGACCGGCGCCGCCCCCCCATCGGGCCCCACCCCAGCCGCAGCCGGCCGCGGCGGCGAGACGGGCGCCGCCCGGTGCCCGCGGGGGCGGGGCCACGCCGGCAACCCGGCCCCCGTCTGTTCCGGCCCACCCCCTCCCGGGCCCTCCCCGGGGATGGGCCCGGCCCCGCCCCCTCCCCGCCCCCTCCCCCGCCGCTGCCACAAGGAGCGCCGCCGCGGTTCCACGGGCTTTATTGTCCCCCCCGGCGCTCCCGGCCCGCCCCGCGCGGCGCGGGCGGCCTCAGCTGAGCGAGGTGATGTTGGAGCGGCCGCCGGGCGGCGCCACGATCCGCTTGCTGGCCGAGCGGACACCCTCGTCCACCTGGGAGCCTGCGGGGCGACAGGAGAGCAGGGAGGAAGGGAGCGGCGGCTCCGCGCGGCCGCGCCGCCCGCCCGCCCCGCGCCCTCACCTGAGAGGCTGAACCCCGACTGGTGCAGGTTCCGCACCGGGGGCGCCTGCCGCGTGGGCGACCCCCGCGCCGAGCCCGCCGGGGTGCCGCCCTTGGGCGTGCYGCTCAGGTCGAACACGGGCCCGTCATACAGGCCGCGCGGCACCGCCTGCACCTCCGACATCTGCAACGGAGACGCGGCCGTGACCGCCATGGACCCAGGTGTGCAGCCGTGACCGCCATGTGACCCCCATGTGACACCCCCCCCCGGCCCATGTGGCTGTGACCGCAACATCCCTCCCCCCCCAACCCGGTGACCATGATGCCCCCGAGCACCATGTGGCCATGAGGTCCCTGCACCCCTGCCCGAGGGCACGGCCGCTCCCAGACCCTTTTTTTTTTTTTGGCTGTGTGACTTGGCTCTTTCCTGCCCTCGCCACATTTTTAAATTCAGCTCTTCCCTGCAGGCTCTGCAGCAGGAGGACAGCAAGTGGGAGCCCGAGGACAGGCAGAGTCACTGTTGATCCCGCGACACCGTCCGCCTCTGGTGGAGCCCAATTGGCAACAGGGAGGGCGGAGGTTCGGACGCCTGGTGCAGGCGTGGGCTGCCTGCCATGCACTGATTCCAGGTGCAGAGCCAACCAGCTGCGGAAAGGGCAGCTCCGGCAGGCGGCGCCCGGCTGCCCCGCTCACCTTCCTGCGCGCCTGGATGCGCTTGTAGACGTAGTCRGGGAAGGGACTGCTGGGCAGGAAGCGTCCGGTGCCCTGCGTGACGTGCAGGTTGCCCTCCTCCAGCACGATCTTCCCCTGGCAAATGACGACCAGCGGCGCCCCGCGCAGCTCCATCCCCTCAAAGATGTTGTATTCGGCCGCCTGCAGCAAGCGGTGCGGCTGGTGAGGGGAGGCGGGCGCGAGCAGGGCTGCTCGGAGCTGCACGGCTGTCCCYGGCCAGCGCTGCTGTGTCACCGTGCACAGCAGAAGCCACGAGAGCCTCGATGGCTTCAGTGGCCRATCTAGGTCACGGCTCCATCACAGCAAGGACCCCCCCCAACCCCCAGAGCCTCCACGTGAATGAGGATCTGCTGCTTCAGAGCTTCAGGTAGCACCAAGGATGCCAACAAGGGCTCTGAGCGGGGCTGAAGGGCAGGTATGAATGGAGTTTGCTGCCCGCGCCAGGAGACCTTTGTGTGTGGCAGGAATCCCACACAGAGACATGTGGCCCTAGAGCCACACAAGCCCCACTGAGGAAGAGCAATGCRGCTAGGTGAGACCCTGCACTTGGCCCCAGTGCCCTCGGGGCCCGGCCTGTGCTGCAGCCAGGGCAGCTGTGGCACACCCGGCCCTCGCAGGCACCAACAGAGCACTTACAGATTGGTGGGTTTTCGCCGTGACAATCTTCACTGCATCAGGATCCCATATAACCAGATCACTGTCTGAGCCCACTGCTATTCTCCCCTTCCGTGGGTAGAGGTTGAAGATTTTTGCAGCATTAGTGCTCGTCACTGCCACAAACTGGTTTTCATCCATCTTTCCTGTGGTCTGCTCAGAGACAACAGAAATGAATCAGTCTTTGTAAAAGCCCCACCCCAGGAAGCACCGTGCACACAGTGGAACACAAGGTGTCATCTAGTCTGTCCCAGAGCCACCATCACTTATTACCGTTGGTCACACAGACCCGGAGCAGGGCTCGGCCCCCCGTCGCTCCTCGAGGGTCCCACCGGACCTGTGTGCACCACAGACCGGGGGCTTCGCGCTGCCTCCCTCTCACTCGTTCTGCCGTGCAAGGCCAGGAAAGYGACGTGCGGCTGCGTGCGCCGCTCTGCTAGGGACCCCACGGCGGGACAGACCTGCGCCTGCTCCGCCTGACCCATYGTCCCCCCTCTGCCTCTCACCACTGCCTTGTCCCAGATGACAGACATGCGCTCCTCRATGCCGTTGGTGCCCTCGGGGATTGCTGTGAAGTTGTCTTTCCCAATTGCTTTCTGTGCGGTGCTGAACGTGCAGTGGGCACTTCCTGACACCTGGAGGTCACCACTGAAGGGTGGTGGGAACAAAATAACCATGAGCCGTTTTGCTGGTAAAACAAGAGTTGAGACACGACAGACAGGCATTCACACCAACTGAAACGCGCATTGGAAAAGCTCTTTCTGGCAGGTTGATGGGTTTCACCGGTGGCGCCGCAGCAGGAGCGGTGACCACGGTGTGCCGCCCGGTGYGGGCTGCAGTCCCTGGCCCGAGCTGCAGCTTCCCTTCCCCAGCACAGCCACAAGGGCCAAGGTCTCCGCGCAGCTGGGCGGAGGAGGGCCCCAGTGCTGCAGGGCGCCCTGACACCTGCCCACAGCCGCCTCYGAACCCTGTTTGTGAAGGAGGGCATTGCAGGGCTGCCAGGCTGCGATGCTTCATCCTGCGACGCTGCATCCCAGTGCTCCCCTTCCCCGCGACGGCAGCAGAGGGGAGAACGGGGCAGCGCAGCCGGGGCTGCCCAGCTGGGATGCACAGCGGGAAGATGCCCAGAGGAGCCGGCACAGGGCGGCTCCCGGAGCCCCTGCGGGCAAGAGACGCGGACACAAGGACCCTGGGCTGTGAACTGCTCCTAATCCACTGGTAATCTCTGTCTTCCTTTAGTAATTTCTGCCATATGTCTGACTGACTGCGCAGCCCAAGACCTGGTCTATGACAGAACCTGCTTCCTAATCTCCAGAAATGTCCTTGTGTGCGGAAACAGACAGCTGGAGCCGCTCCATGTGTTGCAGCCTTGCAGGAGATGACCTGGGAAAGGCGTCAGGACAGYGCGCGGCACAGACACACTTGGGCTGCAGGCTCAGAAATGTCCCTCTCCTCTGGGGGCTGGGTTAAATCCGAGACTGAAGGGGAAGGGAGGACTAATAAGGCAGTTGGGGAGCTGGGCTCACTCCTCCCTGCCTGTCCTTAAGGTCTGCACATACTGCGCTCTTCCCAGCTGAGCCAGGGCTTGTGGGGCTCCTTCACAWGGTGAAATCCAGGGTGAGCTGCATATCCACATCCCAAACACTCTCACACCACTCACGCCAGCCAGGACATCTCGTTCACATCCAGCAACACCTTCCCAGCACAACTCCACTTTATCCTAACCTGCCATTCTGCCAGTACTGCTTTTACTGACTCGCCAGCCCTTGTTCATCTAGTCAGAGATTTTTCTAGCATTAGCTCAAAGGTTATTTCCATTTCCAACTGCCTCAGTGTCAGATGTCCACGGGTGAACATGGACCAGCTGCCACATGCATGGTTCAGCAGGCACGCAGAGGGGGAAGGAGCTTGTGATYGCGCCTGGCCGTGGATGCAGACGGACACTGCTCCTTGCTGCTGCGCGCTCAGCAGTGAGATGGGGTTACCAAGTGCTGCCAAGATTTGACTACTTCCTCTGTATTTTCAGCAGATCCCTTCCCTATACCTTACCGTGCCTAAGGGTGGAAAAAGCTGTCCCATCCCTGCTGGATGTGCATGAGCTGTCCTTAAAGGCCTTGCACACTTTGCAGGTCTCTCCACTCTGCAGAGTGGAGTCATGCAAACTAATGGATACCCTGCAATCACCAGATCTTTTTCTGCACAGCTGCAACCCACGCCCTCACTCCCCATCGTGTTTCTGCAGAGGGGCTACCCCAGCTCACAAGCAAACCCTGCATCTCCTTGGGAGGGCAACCTTCCTTGGCAGTTCTTTGCACTTGCCTCTCTTTAGTAGCAGAGGCCTTACCTGCCAAAATCAGAGCGAATGCCCCACTACTGACACATCTCCATTAGCTGGTCCTCATTTCCTTGTCTTCTTCTGGGTACTTAAATGGGTTGAGACTACTGGCCCTAGTACTTTTCTTCTTACTGATATTTATTTACGGTGGCTCCTCCTGTCATTTCCTCAGGCAGCTCATTAAATTATGTACAG